GGTTTTATTTACTCGATTCTTGATGATTTTTATTTATAAAAAGTCTTAAAAGAAATTCTACTTATATATGAGCTATTAATAGCATTAAACACCAAAGCAATAAGCAATATATACTAAAACCAGGAACAAAAATTCAATGTTTTACTTTGTTTCGATTTGAGAAGGAATATAATAACGCAACGTGTCACAGAATTTTCTATTATTTGTATTTCGGAGTTTAAATAGACAACTTGAATTTGACAATTTTTATTAGCTTATATTTCTACCATTTTAATACATTTATTATTATTTTTTTTAAATATAATGTATTTTTTCCCCATTTTCTTATAGAGCGCTCACTCTTTACTTATATTTATTTAATTCGTTTAATTCGTCTGACTTGACCTGATATAACAAAAATAGCTGTTACGTAATTTGAAATTGAAGAATGTTTCACGGTATAAAATATATTAACTATACAAGATGATTCAAAACATGTGGGAAATACAATGGAAGCTGATACAGCAATAAGAAGAAAAATTCATGTAAACGTATGTGTTTCCTTGTTTTTGAGTTAATAGCTTATTTTGCATTTGCTCACATGCTGGAGAAACTGCTCAAAGTAACCACTTTCAACTTCAATACAGGCAATGTATACATATGTCTCATCATGAAAACTATTAAACTGATTCAAACAGACCAAGTATTGCACGAATTTATTGACAATTTTGGACGGTATGTTGACAAAAGTGTTTCAATACTTTTAATTAATAGTAATAGCATTTTATAAACTACAAATGTTAACCTTTTTTCCTTTAACATTTTGCTATATAGGATGAGATATAAGCTGGTTAAATACATGCCAAATCGACTAATTCCAAAACAAAAAAATAAAGAAATGATGAAATCTAGATTTGTAATAATACATTCTACAATGTTTCCACGAAATATAAAACATATGAAATGCATAAGATAGTATATCCTCGAAGTAATTGTATAATTTTCGCATAACTAAAAAGAGTTAATCGATCTACCAAGTGAAAATAAAAAGGAAATAATATTCCAAAATAATATACCTAAAATTCAATCTTCAAAGAAATTTTTTATTATTGATTTTTAAAATAAAATTAATGATGATAATTCGGTCAATATTACAATTATTATTGTTAGTGTAGTTAAACTGAACCACCATTAAAATAATAATCCTCTTCATTACGTACTTCATTAGAGATCTCATCATGTCGATTTGTTCTTAAATTTCTATTATAATCATGTTTGCTACGAGGAATGAATTTCAGTGAATCCATCTCTCTTTTCGTTTTCTTTTGCCACTGTTCTGCTTTTAAAATATGACAAAGGCTAGTCTACATTTTTTCAAAACTAGTGGTGTCTATCTGGACTTTGTAATATCAGTGGCATTAAATTTTGCATTTTTTGTTAAAGTCATATTTAAATTATATGATGTAGCATTTCGATATTTGTAATTTTATCCATTTTTATGCATTTATAAGCTAATTCATTGGTAAATAACTGTTATTTTTCTATTTATGGTAGAATTTTCTAATTTCTCGTTGTTGAGAAAAAAATCCTGATGAGTCACTTGAACCACATAAAATAGGGTCGTTAATTTAAATAAGATGCTGCTCTCCAATTTCATCGTATCCACACGAAAGATTATTACAAAGCTTGAAAGCAAAGGCATATAGGGGCATATCTTTTCTCAAGCTTTTCTTCTTATTGTTAGTTCAGCATACTGAATTCAGCCCCCGTCGTACTTCCCACATCTCCTGAATCATCTTAGTTCAACAATAGTTCCTAAATAATTCTCTTTCTTTTTGTTTTCTTATGGGTCAAGACATGCAATATTGAACAATTTCTAGATATCGTGTAGTCAACAATAGGTGAAAATATTAAATTTTAAAACGATTCATTATTTTCGATAATGAAAATTACGATATTTGTAACAGAATTGCCAATGTTTTTCTACGTGTAAATATTTTTATAATCAATTTATAGAGAAATATGATATACAAAATACACTACTGTAACTAAATATATATTTATAATTTATTGTTACTGGAGAAATATCAGTAATTTATTGATAATAGTGTCATCAACATAAATTAATGTCACCGATAAATTTGCAAAAATCGTACGTTTCTCGTTACATT